AAATGCGTCTTCGGTGTCCGGGGAGGAAGGTTTCTTGGCTTCATGATCACCAGCAGAGGAATCGAAGCCAACCCCGAGAAGTGCGAGGCCATCATACACATGCAAAGCCCACAAACGGTAAAGGAGGTGCAACGCCTGGCCGGACGGCTGGTCTCACTGTCCCGGTTTATCCCCAAACTTGCGGAGAAGGCGGGACCAATTTTCACCCTGCTAAAGAAACCAAAAGACTTCTCGTGGACTGACCAGTGTGAAGCAGCTTTCCAAAGCTTCAAAAATTTCCTCACAACCCCGCCAATCTTGCAAAGGCCGGATCACAACACCGACCTCCTTCTTTACCTGGCAGTAGCAGAAGGCGCCATCAGCGCCGTCATTGTACAAGAGCATCAGAAGGCGCAAACCCCAATCTACTTCATCAGTCGGGTCCTCCAAGACGCAGAAAGAAGGTACCAAATGGTCGAAAAGCTGGCATTGGCACTGGTCACCGCAGCCCGGCGACTCCGACCTTACTTCCAAAGCCACCAGGTGGTAGTCAAAACCGACTACCCCATCAAACAAATCCTGCGAAAGCCTGAGCTTGTCGGACGCATGATTTCCTGGTCAATAGAACTGTCAGAGTTTGGAATCCGGTACGAGAGCTGCGGACCTCTAAAAGCCCAATGTTTAGCCGACTTCGTAGCCGAGCTCACGCCGACCACCACAGAAGAACCCCAAGCATGGACCCTCCATGTAGACGGATCCTCCAACTCTAAAGGAGGAGGTGCAGGCGTCATCCTGGAAGGACCAAACCAAATCACTGTGGAACAATCCCATTCTCAAATTCTCTCTTAATTTCCAGTTGAGACCTATCAAAAACTTAAATTGTTAAATGAAAAGGAATTGAAGGAACACTTCTAAATTTATCAGATTTGATTATTCCACTATGTTATTTGTCACCCACTCATTCAATGCATGTACTTTATTTGTCTATTTCATTACTTCGTTTCAATTATTCTAAAATAGAGGCTTTACAAACTTAGATATAACTAATAATTTTGTTTTATAAGACTTATGGTCAAATTGTTTCATCTACTTCTATTTAAAGTTATTACATTGAATTGAACACTATATACCATCTACATGATATAGTTGAAGTTATTCTTTATTGTCTCTAAATCTTATGATTTAATACTAATTATGATTCACGATTCAAAAATTAGCTTGGCTATTCATTATTTGAATCTGAATTTGATAACCTTTCTAATAAACTGCCTTTTTTTGCCTGAAAGTTAGTATTCCCATTCAAATCCATGCACTTGCTCATATGCAGCAGCCTATTTTGATTCTGCCTTGAGACTGTACAGCATAAGCTTGTATTTGGCTTTATTGGAATGGTGGATAATGGAAATTACTTTAAATAATTTTTAACTGTCTTGTCATATAAAAGAAATTTCTGGGAGCTGAATTCATTTCAATAAAATTATATGTACTATCTTTTAAGGAAATTATGAGTTGAGACTTTTGGAGATGCTTAGATACTGTGTTTGAATTTGAATTTTCGAAGATTTTGCAGAAGTTCATCCAAAGTTTTGAGTTCTAAGAATCTTTTCTCTTTATCTTTCTCCCCTCCCTCTCCCTTTTCTTCCACTTCCTTATACAAAGATATATATAAAAAAGAATTAAAATAAAGAGAAAATTTTTCAATTATGAAATTGGGTCTTTGTCAGCTTAAATTTTTAATCAACATTGGTCGGAGTCCCTGACAAGATTTCTATTTAGTCTTCCAATCATATCTATGCCATATTTTCCTCTGATTCTTTGGGTTCCATAAACAAAATCAAATTTATTTTTACCTTTAATGTCTCTTCTTTAGCACAATTACTGAGTTCCTGCTTCTTTTTAGGAACGTGAAGAAAGAAAGAGAAGGTTGAAAAGAGAACGTTCGGATGACAAACCTGTGCAAGTATCACATTCACCTGGACCTGATCAGCTATTTCATACTAAAATCCTTAAAACATATGATAGAAGTAAGCTTCCCCCAGGTAAGGATATCTTTCCCCGGTCAACTTGCTATCTAGCCAGCAGTAATTAGTAATGCCATTTCATTCATATTTTGTTTCAACAATTTAATATTTTTTAATAATGCTACTGTTGACTCTGTAGAATTGGAAAATTCAGATAACTCTTAATGCTATTCCATTTCTATGCTTATGTTGGACTATTCTGTAGGATATTTATTATGTCACATATGCTTTTTTGCTTAATTTACTCTAAAATTTGTTTCGTGGTAAAAAAACAATAGCATGTTATTTTGTTAGTTCCTAGTATGGGTGTAAGCGGATTGGGTTAGGTTGGATTTGGATGAATCTGTTACTCAACTCGATCAAAATTTAAAGAGTTGGATTGGGTTGGATATGTGCAATTTTTTTAAAAACTCAACCCAATTCAACTTGATCACAAATAGATTGGGTTGAGTTGGTCAATCGGGTCAACATAATTAAATTCATTTATTTTTGTAAAAATTTAAATATTTCAAAATAGATGTAAATCATTTGATACATTGTTGCAAATACAATATTATCAACCTATAAAGCAAACAATCATACAAACTAAATTCCAAAACAAATTTGTTAATTTGTTACATTATTATCAATTCAAAAAATCAACATTAATTAATACAAAATAAAATTTAAAATAAATATTATATTGTTACAATGCTATCAACCTAAAAATAAAATCTGTTACTGAGTACAAGTGATAGTGAGTATTATCCTGAACAAATGATCATACAAATAATAATAATAATAATAATAATAATAATAATAATAATATATGACCTTGTCGGACTGGATTGGGTCACAGGTTGAAAAAACAAAACCTGTTACTCAATTTGCACAGAGACGGGTTTTGATCGGTTTGGATTGGTGGGTTATCTGTATACGCTTACACCCTTAGTTACTAGCAGCTTTTGTTCTTTTGGTGCCGAGTGAAGGTTCTGTGATATAACAAAATGACAAATACATGGTATTGGAGCATTTTATATTTATGAAATGCTGTTGGGTTGCTTTTTCCTCATTCGTTTGATATACTCAATATACTTTGTGATAGATTAAGACACTTGTAAATGTAAGTAGAAGATAAAGATATTGAATTACTATTTACTATTATCATTTTATTATTTACATGCAGGTTGGTTGGATTGCCCTTCATTTGGCCAGGAAATTTTTTGCATGATACCTTCCAAGGTTCCACTTGGTGAATCATTCAATGACTACATCATTCCTGGTAAAAGATACTCATTTAAACAAGTGATACATCAACAGAGAGTTTTAGGGAGAAAAGTAAGTAGACTTTATTCAAAAATTTTAATGTTTCATAATACTTTATTCTGTTTCCTCTGCCTTCTAATTTAATTTTAAGTGCAAGAGATCTAAATGAAAGGGATTTCTAGATTCTTAGAAACAAAATAAAAGAGATTGATGCAATCTCGTTATGTTTTTTTAATTAAATTACTATCTTTACTTCTTCTCAGAAGCACCATATATTTTGTATCCATGATTTGCTTCATTTTTCACTTTCTCTTTTAAAGTGTATTACTCTATTGTGTTGCCTTGCAGCTTGGTCTGGTAATTGATTTGACAAATACTTCCCGATACTATCCAGTAGCAGATCTTAAAAAGGAGGGTATCAAGCATGTTAAGGTTTGTAATGGTTGACCTTTGCTTACCAACTATTTTTTTTAATCATGTCTTTAAAACTGTCACTCCTCTTTCTTTTCCTTACATTTGAGGATCATTACTGTGATTTAGATTCAATGCAAGGGCCGCAATTCTGTACCTGATAATGTATCTGTTAATCATTTTGTCTATGAGGTATGTTTCTTTCTTTCTCATGTTGTAATCTTCCTGAGTTATTTTGAGGAATGTAGCATCTATTTCCTTTTCTTGGGTAGGCTAGCTTGTTGTTCTTTACATGATTAAGCATATACATCACCTCATCAACATATTCAAGAAGTGAGGACTCCTAATACTTTCAAAACTATTTCATGTATTGATTTCATATTTTCTTTTATGACTTCTTTAACATTTTCTGCAGAATATTAGATGCTTGCAAAATTCATTGTTATACCATCTGCCCTTTTTTTTTCCCCTTCTAAAATATTATTTTTTTATTTAATAATTAAATGGTTTTATATCTAATAACCTAAATATTATTATTTATCTTATTAAATTTTACCATTATTTTATATTTCTATGCAGACATGTGATGCAATTTTTGGCTGCTTATATTGTCTGTGTTTTGAAATTACAGAAAAAAAAAATGGAATGCTTTGTTCTTTTTGGAGAGTAAAAAAATAGATGCTTTCTTTTAGAGCAACATCATTTTGGTCACAAGTTTTTAACCATATGGTTTTTTTCAACTCTAGGTTACGCAATTTATATCACGTCAAAAACACTCGAGAAAGTATATACTTGTTCATTGTACACATGGTCATAATCGTACAGGATACATGATCATCCATTATCTGATGCGCACAATGTCAATGTCTGTTACTCAGGTTAGTGTTGGAATTACCATATGATTTTATATCCCTGCTAAAGATGCGATTTTAAGTTAAGTATTTATACTTTTAGATTTGATTATTCTGCAGGCAATAAAAATATTTTCGGATGCACGCCCTCCAGGAATCTATAAACCTGAGTACATTGATGCATTATATGCATTTTATCATGAAAAAAAGCCTGAAATGATAGTTTGTCCCCCTACCCCCGAGTGGAAGAGAGCTCCTGAACTTGTTGATCTCAATGGTGAAGCAGTGCCAGATGATGACGATGATGATGGAGTACCAGGCTCTCCTTTGCATGTATGGATAATATTGAAAGTGAATTCTGTTATTTTGGCCTTTATTGATATCTCATACTATATGAATAGGTTGTTGATCTTCCATTGTGTTGATCATGTTAGTCTTGTTTCCTGTTTCTTACTCCTAATAAGGATAGGTTTCTTCTTGAGAAGCTCATTTAGAAATGTGAAACTCCTTTGAGATCAAGTCCTTTGCCTGGGTGGTTTAGCAATTCTGAAGTCTTGATTCAAATTGGGTGGAGCTTGGGATTTTTCCTTGTGGGGCAACCAAAGAAAGAAAAGAAGAAGCAATTCCAGGGACAAACTTAAAGATTTTCTATTGAAAAAAATATGAAAGTATAACTTTTCAAAAACATTTTTTCTGAGGTGGGTGGGGGGCTATCTGCTGCACTACAGCGGTTTGATTGTTTATGCATTGTAGAGTGGTGAAGTTCCTTTGCAATAAGTTATTTAATGTGTTGGAGGCCTGTTGGTTGTCCCCTTGCCTTCACTTTGAACAGATTATGTTAGTTTGTTTTAAAAATTTTGGAAGATCAAGTGCTAACATTTGGTGGTGGTGCTAGTTTTGTTGTTCTTTGATGTACTTGATTTGAGTAGAACGAAACCAAGCTTCTACCCTACTTTGCATTTGCAGCATCTCATTCTTGCTGGTGTTTTGCTCATGGCAATTATGAGGGATTTTCCTGTTCCATTGCAAAGAGAATGGGCAGCCTTGTCACATTCTTGACTTTTTTATTTTCCTCCCTTTTCTCTTCTTTGTTTTGGGGATTTAACTCCCTCTTAGTTGTAGTACTTCCTTTTTTTCTGTCTAATAAATTCCTTTTCAAAAAAAATGGGCTGTGGAAGAATTGTGGGATTTCTGAAGAAGTCATTTGTCTCTGTTTTTCCACCATTTCATCTTTTCTTTATGTCCATTTACACTCCTGTCAAATGCATTATCACTGTTGAAGGTTCATGTGTCATAGAAGACAATGCTGCATTTTTTTTTTCTTGTCAGTAAGATTTTTACCGACTTTTTTTTTATTTTTAAAAATGGGTCAGTCTAAGATAACATTGACTTTATCTCGTTACATTCTTGAACCCAGTCGTCAATTAGTTGTGTACTTTAGATGCTTTTGTCTGAAGCTGATTCTCAATATCTTTCCTATTCTCTCAGGAGAATCATGAGACTGACACAATAATGACAAATGACGATGTTTTGGGAGATGAGATACCTAATGATCAGCAAGATGCATTTCGCCAGTTCTGCTTTCAAACGCTCAGACTAGGTGTTGGGGTAAGCCTTTTAAATAGTTGTCTTCCATGTGCAAGTTTATCACTTGGATTCCCATTGTGTTGACAACTCAGTAATGTAATTAGGATGTATTTTATAGCTTCACTGAATCTTTTATTGTTTGTTCAATTACATTGCTATGAAAAAATTGGTGGGCATTCGTTTTGCTTGTTGCTCTATTCTTTGGTACTGTGCCTGAGTTTGTCACATTCTTGGGCTATTGTTTTGTTATTTGTGCTTAGACATGTCCAAGATTGTCAAATCATGATGCTACATGGAATCAGAAGGGGTAAAAAGCATTTAAATTGTGGATCGTAACATGGATTGTAAGATCTTGCTAAAATGCAAAATTATACTTAAAACATACATACATATCTGTGTGTGTTTATAATAACAAAGATAAGAAAATTAACCATTAAATCACAACCAACACTTGAATAAACTGGAATTGTGCATAAGATTGTCAAGTAAAACTTCAAACACAAAAGATAACAAACTGAAACAGCAAGTGAATATGGACCAAGTAGCACAACAGCCTGAAGCCATTTTTCAGACAGCAAATCAAACAACCCTCCTACAGAAAATGAGAGGAGAACACAAAGTTGCACATAGATAATAGGGGACCAAGTTGCACAACAGAGAAGACCCAAGTTGCACCATGAAGCCAACTAGTCAAGAACCAAGTACAGTGAACAGAGCAGAAGAGAATCGCACAACCTAGGCTCAGGAAAAGAACTACACAGATGTGACCGTGTGGGAAAAGAATCACAACAGAGAAGCACAAGTGCACAAAACCCATAATGCAGTTTGGTAGAAGAGAGGCCTGGTCAGAGTTGGGTGAGAGGGAAATTGAGAATCAAGTGAAGAAAGGAGGGTTTTTAGGCAAAATAACTTCAAAAAAATTGTTTTTTCCCCCGAACTGGATCATGTGATCTGACCTACCAAACAGCATCAACCCAGTTCGGAGAAGATCTATGGTCCTGCCTTTCAGCAAGTAAAATCATTATTCCTACTCCAGTCCTGCAGAGATTTAAGCATGTTGCAGCCCCAAAACTCAGGATCATATGATGATAGTATGAATGAAAGCACAATGCTGACAACCTTGGACATGCCATTATTATATGTTTGCAAAATGTTATGTTATTCTATAAGTATCTTTCACTGTAGAAGTTTTGCTACTTTTGTTGAAAAATGTTATTTTGAGCCAGAATGTCATGATTCCTGGTTGGCTTGGAGCCTCTTTCCACAATGCTGTGAAATCAATAAGACCTTTTTAGTTAGAAAGGTTGGTTTATATTTTTCAAGGCACTTGGCCAAAAATGCTTTTAGGTGAGACAACAGATGCAAAACATCCAGTTATGCTTTCATATATGTTTATCTAAGCTGCTGTTAACATCCACTTTTACATTTTATGGTTTGCCTTTCCCTGCTTAATGTACATCTGATGTTTTTATTATATATTGCCATCTTACTGTTTCTTATGGTGCAGGCCAGAGGGCACATGCAATTTCCTGGATCACACCCAGTTTCTTTAAACAGGTCCAACTTATCTGTGCCATTAATGCACTATATTGTGATATGTTATAATAACCAACCAGTAAACCTCAGGCTGCTAGTTCTTTAGCTACTATACTTTTCATATACCATGCTTTTAAACCTTAACCAATCATATGATTATGTTGGTTGTTAGCATTGGGTTTCTTAAAATGAGTCATGCTTCTTGTTCCCTCAGGAGGCCCAATTAAGACGTCCCTCAGGCTTATTTGGGCCTGGCCCCTTTTGGTTGGATTCTATTCATCTTTCTCGGTTGGGTGAGCCTGGCCCATTCTGTCTTGATTGTTTTATGCTTCCCAATCGAACAGTTCAACTCACCTATTGTATGGATTGGGGCTTGTCATTGTTAGTGACACCACAGAGGCAAGATGTGACCCTCAACGATAGTGGTGGGTTTACTCGAACCTAACAATGCCCCCAACGCACATGATCAGGCCAGTATGTTGAAGAGTTTACATGATTCTGCAACTAATATAAGCAGAAGCCTAGATGGTATGAAGGATATAAAACTTGGAAGATCAAGAGACAGACCGACTATGATCTCTTTGGATCAAGGTTGAATCTGCAGTCTCTTGAGACTTGCAACTAAGGATACTACTTAAATTAATTTTATATCCCTAGATTTACCCAGAATTGAATTTTCATAAGTGAGATATCCTTTTTTATAAATATGAAGAAGTTTTTTAACATGAAGCGAAAGGAGGATTAGAAATCCTCCTAAACAAGGGAATGGAACAGAAAACCAATAAACCAGAGAAACTCAATGGAACAAATATTCCCAATCCCTTAACACATTTTTTTAATGAAACCCCATTAAAATAAATGACCATGCTCTTAATGCCGAAAAGATACCAAATGCCTAGTCTTATCCTAAATCAAATGCTGTGCCAAAGAAACTCCCTTAAAATTACAAGTTTCACTCCTAACAAATTTAACATATTGTAGGATAGATTGTCTTTGCTACAAAATTTTAGCCTCTACTTCTACCAAAACCATGAAAATTAATAATCAGAATTGGTCCAGGGACCTGTTACATGCCCAACATTCAGCAAAAATGCCAAATAAGGAAAAGTAAGCTAACCTTTAATTTGTAATTCCTAACTAGTTTTACATCCTACATCTTAATTGCACAAGAGAGTGGTTGCCTATATATCGCCAGGCAGTCCATATTAATTTTTTTATTCTTATATGACCTCTTCTGTATCATTTGCACATGTTTCTTCATAGCTAGAGTTACAAACCATTGCTCCAGTGCCAGATCTGTCAAGGAGAAATCAGATTTTAATGCTCTGTACTTTTAATATGTAGTCATTTAAGAATATACTAATTGCTACTTTATTGTTTTATGGTTAAAATATTTTTTTAGTCCATATAGTTTCACTTTACCTTTTAATCCTTATAGTTTAAAATAGATCTTTTTAATACTTATATTTATCTTTTTCGATCCTTTTTAGTCCATACAGTTTAGTATAGACCTTTTTAATCCCTATACTTGCAGTTTTTTTAATATTTTTAGTCCTTGTCGTTAATTTTCTTTTTGTGGCATTGTTTTGTATTGATGTGATAGAGGTTTTCAATTGTGAGGGTAAAAAAATTGTGTTTTAACAATGGGTATTGCAAGCAAGGGTACACAAAATACACGAAACATCAAGAGACTTAATTTAGAATAGTTTTAGCAAAATAAATTTGCCATCAGACATACAAAGTTGAATTAATACCCCTATTATATCAATACAAAAAAAAAGTTACAAAAAAGAAGTTAATGACAGGGATTAAAAAGATTAAAGAACTACAAGTATAAGGATTAAAAAAATATATCTTAAACTATAGGGATTAAAAAAGATTCAAAAAGATAAGCATAGGGACTAAAAAAGTCTATTTTAAATTATAGGGATTAAAAGGTAAAGTAAGTAATACTATAGGGACTAAAAAAATATTTTAACCTTATTTTATGTTTTTCTTTTTTTGGGATTGGGGGGAAGTCGTCATTTATATAGTTATATAAATAAACCTTTAAAATATAAATGAATCAAATGATGCTAATGAGGGAATTTGGAGAGTCTATACATATATCGACGTAGCAACAAACTCTTGTTTCTTTGTTTGAATTATACCAATTAGTGACTTTTTCCCATAGTTTTTCAAAACATAAAGGCTTCCTAAGTTAGATCATTTATTTATAAACTTTGTATTTTTGTGAATATAGAAATTATCTTTATTGATTGCAGGAGTTATTTTCAAGACAAAGTTCCTGTTGATTTGTCATTTTATCTGTATATGTTAAATTTGATTGCTTGGTATGCAGGGAGAATTTACAACTGTTACGACAGCGTTATTATTATGCGACATGGAAAGCTGATGGAACAAGATATATGATGCTAATCACTATGGATGGATGTTACTTGATTGATAGAAGCTTCAATTTTCGAAGGGTCCAAATGAGGTTTCCTTGCAGGATTACGAATGATGTATGTGTGCTACTTCATAGTGGATGATTCTGATAGTGTTTGTTAAGCAGTTTTAAATTAAAGGTGCACAAACTGATATGTATATATCCTTGGCTTCCAAGGGCATGGCTGAGAAGACACACCACTTCACATTACTTGATGGGGAGATGATTATTGATAGATTGCCAGATTCAAAAAAGCAGGAACGGAGATACCTCATATATGACCTGATGGCAGTCAATGGAGTATCAGTAATAGAGGTTTGATATATTTGTAGTGCACAACATAATGCTGGATGCTTTACTTTGGTTTTGACTAAAATTGTTTCATTCTTTGCGGACTTTGGGAGCAGGAAATCACTCATGCTTGCCTTTAGTTGTTAACTTGTTATTTATTTACATGGTTGAAAATTACTTAAAATTATAATTCCACCCAACTTTCAAGTTCTTGTTAACTCAGCAAACACTATCCTACTTTTTTCCGAGAGCATTCTCGCACTTTTCTTTAGGGTCATAATATAGCAGTTGTTTCTTTTTATTTAGTTTAGTTTCTATGAAGGGAAAAATGGCAACAGTTACTATATTGACTTCAAGATTGATATATTTTTTATTTTCTCTCACCATGTGTTTAATTTCTGGTTGGAGTAAGGGTTAGAAAGTACATCCCTTTTACATCATATAAAAAAGGCTGACTTAAAAATGTTTTATTCTTGCTTTTCCTTTTGATTGCATGATTTTTTGTTAATCGCTTAACTTTCTTGTTTAATGTATCTGGTTGGTAATCTTGTTGGCTATTTTAATAAATGCATGGTTTTGTAAAATCTTGTCCCATCTCTTGACCATTGGATTTGAGGTTTTTTTTTTTGTTGCAGTTTGACATTGAACTATTTTGGTTTTGAAGATGGATTTAAGTCTTCATAAACAAAAAACCTGTCATTAGGTGTTACTGTCAGGAATTTAGCTTTACAAGTGGGATTAAAACAGGAACTATTAGTTGAAAACCTCCTAAAACAGAAAACCATCTTCATATTCTGTTATCGAAGCAATTATATTGGTTTTGGTAAATATTATCCATGGGGAAATTTTTAATAATATGTCTAGTTCATTTAGGGTTTATCAGGTCAGATCCTAAGTCCTAACCATCATTTGAAATTTCTATGTGGATCAATAAAAGTCTGATACATGTATTTGGAATCAAATTAGGCTGTTAGAGATGTAATAAAGGCATTCATGAGTCTTCACATAACAGCTTAAACTTAAAGGAGAATTGGTCCTTAGCAAGAAATTAGAGCCTCTGGCCAATTGTCTGAGAACTAAAGTAGGCCTGTCCATTCACCAAAATTTTCCAGTTCAAATGATTCTTTTGTGAAGAATATGAATATTACAGATGCAAATCATGTAATAAGGTCATTTGTGAAACTTCACCTAACAACTTAAGCTTTTAGGAGAGTTGTCTCTTGATATAATTAGCGGGTGAAACTGGCATAGAGCGCCCCCCCTTCAAAAATGCTCTAACAGCATAGCAGATATCAAAGTGGCTGCTATTGTGAAGAAGTCTGATGAAGGATCTCTGAAGTGTGTTTAGAAATTTTGAAATAAAATGGAGACTATCCATAATAAGTATGCACAAGAGATGTAACTGTTATAATATATGAAAATATCTTAGGACTAATTTCCCTATGTCCTATTATCTCTTAGGACTGATTACCATATATCCTTATCACGTGATTTTCCCTAATTAGTTACAATTATGATTAGTCCAAACTTTGATACAGCACTTTGTCAATTCTTTGATACAAAGTGAAATAAATGCATGATTTAGTCCAAACTTGGTGCAGCGGCCATTTTATGAACGGTGGAAGATGCTTGAGAAAGAAGTGATTGAACCCAGGAATCATGAACGCTTTCAGAGCAGAAATCCTTACTACAGATATGACATGGAACCATTCAGGGTACGCATATCTAACCCTAAAAATGGGTGCATTTTAAGCTCCATTTTCCTCTGCTAGCTTGGCTATTTATACATTTAAAATTATCAGGTAAGGAGGAAAGATTTTTGGTTGCTCTCTACTGTCACGAAGCTTTTAAACGAATTCATTCCAAAACTCTCACATGATGCAGATGGTCTCATATTTCAGGTGGGTTTAATCTCTTTCATTGTATTAAACATGATGATGAGATTAACTCTTCTGATATGTTGAATAATGAATAACGTATTCATGGCTCAATGCCATGCCAACAAGTCACCTATTTTCAGTCATGTGGTTTGTAGCCTTTTAAGAATTTTCCTTCCCCCATTGGTTCTCTCTCATACCAGGGTCTACATACAACTCGCAACTTATTCAGCATGAGAATGAATATCCTTCTGGTTTCTGTAGTGATCTTAAAATGATGTCTGCTAAAAGAGACAATATACCTAGACTAGCTCATGGAAGATCGCTGTTACCTAGACTAGCTCATGGTTCAGATACATTGATCCATTCATTTTATTTTCTTTCAAATCCTCCTTACTACATAAACAGGGTGTTTCCTTTTTCTTTTTCTTTTGTTATTGAAGTGCAAGGAGGTTGTTACTGACAATATTTATAACCAGGGTTGGGACGATCCCTACATACCACGCACTCATGAAGGCCTCTTAAAGTGGAAATATGCTGATCTGAATTCAGTTGATTTTCTCTTTGAGGTATCAACAACTTATTGCATAACTTGTTGGATAATACTCTTGGCTGTCTCTCACCTATTATCTTTGATCACTTCTAGTTTGTTTCAGATGCTCCCAACTAATTTCTATCTGCTTGTGTTGACAGATTGATAATGATTGTCAGCTACTTTTTCTCTATGAACGAGGAAAAAAGAAACTCATGGAAGGGTACAGGGTTGTATTCGAAGGTCAGTAAGTCATTTATTATTTCATTATACCTGTCCTACTCATTCAGTTCTGATGTTATAGTTAGAATATCAAAATAGTGTATGAGAAAATATGAGTATCTGAAAAGATCTTAGAAAATTAGTGTAAAGTGTAAACAATTCTTTAGTACTTCACCTAAATTGTTTTATAGATAGGATAATTGGTTTTGGTTCAGTATTTTGTAATACATTATAGCATTAGCATATCAATATAATAGAATATTATTTGAGGTCTTTATTCTCTTTTCCTCCCTTTTCCTCACCTAAAATCTATAATTTCAACAATGAGATTTTAGGCATCACTGTAGAATAGGAAATTCTATTAAAATCAAGTCATGGTCATGGATTTATTTGTTTCTCATTTCTCAGTAAGGTACATGTTCGTATGCCAATATGGTGTCTTGATTGGTTGGTGATTTTCTCATCACTATAACCAAATTCTGGGCTTTAGCACCCACCAGAACAGTGTATATCAGAAGCAGTGTCTCAGTTTTGCAGGATAATTATGCATTGTAAATACTGTTTTGCATGCAAGATATAGTTGTCTGTTTATAAGTCTGTAACTTGTTTGACGATTCTTAGTTTCCATTCATTGCAAATGCTTGATGGAATTTTGAATCTGCAGAAGGTTCGGATCCCTTGCATTTTTCTGGAAAGATCATTGAATGTTCTTGGGATTCTGATAGACTGGAATGGATATACAAACGAGTCAGAACAGATAAATCAACTCCAAATGACTTTAATACTTATAGAAAGGTTTTATACCAACTACTTTTTCTTTTTAGTTTCCCTCTTGTCTATCATTCTGTACTTAATTTGGGTCAATATTGATATTATTTTACATTACAGGTGATGCGAAGTATAAGAGACAATATCACAGAGGATATCCTGCTGA